CAACATAGCCATCGACTTCGGGGAGCAGGTAAGCCCCAGCCGCGCCCCGCGCCCCGCACCCTGCGCCCCGCTCTGCCTTGGCCTTAGACGCCGGGACGCCCGGGAACCGGGGCAGAGGGGAGTCACCTGCTCCGAGTCCCTTGTGATCCTGGAACATTTGGTCGGGTTTGCAGCTTGTCAAGGGTGACTTTTCCAGCACCCCGTACCCTCCCTCCCCCCGATTATCCAGCAGACTTTTCCAGCCCTCCCTGGAAAGATGTTAAAAAGACCGGGTAGTGGGGAGCTTCACCTATAGACGGGTTTTTAGTGCACGGGAAGAGTATTATGTAATTTGCGATTATGTAAACCTCAGCTCCGTAATTAAAATGTAGTTTCTAGTAGCTTAAGTGCTGGGTTTTTATTTATCCAGGGTTAGTGGTAAAGGTGCTGGTGGGGAGATTTTGTATTATAATGTGGCCAAGTTGATTTCTCAGATACTTCTGATTTTTAAACATTTGTTTTGCAGCCCAGGTAAGGATGAGGGGTGTCCCGAATGTGTCCTGAGAAACCCACCGTTGGTCATTTCTCGTTTGGGGTTTCTTTTTCTTTTTTCTTTTTTTCTTTTCGTGGACCACTAAAGAGGGGAGCACGTTACTGTCTGGTGCTGCCTTCTCGTCCTTGTTTCTTGTTCATGTTTTCCCCATGTGGCGTCATTGCAAATTTAGTGCTGCAGGCTCTCCAGCGAGGGACATTGGTACCCGGCACTTTGCATGTGGGGACCGTTTTCGCAGGGCCTCCAGAGGGACGCAATTGCATCCCAAGGCCCGGGAGAGGAATTGGGAATAAGGAAGACACTCACATGCCACCCTGATGGGCAGGGGTCCGACGTGGCCAGGGGGTGTGACGAACAACAGTCTTGGTGTTTTGGTGTCATCTTCTTTTCCTTTAAGTCAAGAGATTTCAAAAGATATTTATATGGAATATGCACCTATTTTGATGCACTGCTAATTTAGAAAGTCAAACAGCTTTTCAGAAAGCAGTTACAAACCAGGAATTTGTCTGACTCCTTCGTTTGATGAAAATCTGCTTGGATTTGTCTCTCTGTGCTCAGAACTTTTGAATAATTGCAATTCATGAGCTCCCTAATACGTAACTCACATTGTAAGCTACTTTTTGCTGTGAATTTTCTTGCTGGTAGGTGTTCGCAGTATGGCGTCTTCTCTAGAGATCTTTGTCTTGGAAGCCAACCAATTTCCTTTGATGAAATATTATATCTTTTCCGTTGCCACTCGGCCCTGCAGTACCTCACAAGGGTACCCCAAGGGCTTCTTCTTCACTCCTGCTCCACCTCCATCCCACCTACCTTTCTTTCTTTCGTAAGTGACCGGTCACTTTGAGCATTTCTTATAAGCTGTGGGAAAGTTTTCAGACATGAATTTACTACATGGGACATTTTAGATGAGTCAAGTGCTGTATATTCACTTGAACCTTTTGCCACTTTAAGGCTTATGTTATTGGAGTTGCCTCGAAGGTTGTCAGAAAGACTGGGCTGCTCATCTGACATGAGAGAGAGAGAGAGAGAGAGAGAGAGAGAAAGAGAGAGAGAGTGTGTGTGTTAAGACTCATGGGGATAGCTAGTGGAAGTAAGAGTGGTCTTTGTCGTAAACTACCTGAAGCATACCTTGGTATTGCCTCCCGTTTGTCTTGATTTGATAAAAGACTGATATAACTAAGCTTGATTTGGGTATAAGGAATCTTCTGAAGTCACGAAAGGGGGGCTAGACATAAGAGACAACTATACAGATGGTTTATTGTAGTAGGTCTAATAATTCAAACTCATTCTTAAAACATTGCTAACCTGATCATAGCTGATGTAAGCAAATTACTTGAAGAGTTGTGTTTTTGCACAGAAGCAAAATGTTATCAACAAGTGTCATTTGAGGTCCTTTCTCCACAATCACCAGTGTGTTTATGCGATGATAGGCTGCCTGCTGGTGGAGGTATTTTATCACAGAGTGAAGGGTGGAGAGATGGGAAAGAAGATAGGTTTCCAAAACCTTGCTTTGCTTTCTGTTGTCAAATGATAATTGTTTTTGCAAGGGGTGCAGGGTGAGAAGAACAGAACTTACTCTTTCTCAGTATTGAACCAGAGGGAAACAGGGATAGTGGGCGTGAAAGAGTGGCCTGGTGTGTGTGGGTGATGAATAGAAGAACATTTCACCCCAACTCTGCTGAAGCACAGGAAAGAGGAGAAATAAACCAATTTGCAAACGTGAGTCTACCTTAGACTTCTGAAAATCGCAGCTCTTGACCATAGAGTTCTGGGCAGATGGACACATGTGGGCCCTGCAATGAGTGGGCAGCCACATTACACCTCGCAGGAAGGGAATGATGATTCATTGGTTAGTGATTTACAGATGCTAAGGTGGAGAGGTGACACAGTACAAAGGTACATGAAGCCTCTGGTTCACATGCTTTCAAGATGATTAAGAAATGCAAAATCAAAAGAATAAAGCATCTCTCTGGCTTTTAAAGTTTTCTGTCTTGTCACGAACAAAAATCACACTAAACCATTTAAAATATTTCTTGGATGAGGCATTTTTATAGTTATAAACATCACAGTTTGTGGTTTCTTTAGAAACCATAAACAGATCTTTTAAAATGGAAATCTAGCTGCCCACCAGGTTCTCTTGAAAGTTGAATACGGCAGCACATGTGTGACCTAGTGGGCAGCACATGCGTGACCTTGTGAAGGAATTACCCGTTAATGACCTTAGAGCTATCAGTGTGCTTGGAGGGGCATGAGGAGGCCTTGTAACAATCTCTCCAGAATGTTCTAATAGTCGCCATGAGAATTATCTGTTGTGTATAGCTTTCTCTGTCATTTTATAGCTCAGTCAGGGAGAAAACTCAAGTATTATGGAGTGCTTACTCTAATAAAACTAGCAAAACTTATCATATTTTTCAGTTTTGGTGGTGGCGGTAACATGAGGGGGTGAGGGGAAAGGTTGAGTTCTACACCAAACTAAAAAAGCTAGGAATAAAATGACCTGCTTTTTAATATATATTTTTTAAAGCTGATTTCTATTTCTTATTTTATTAATTTATTTATTATTTTGTTTTGTTTTGTTTTTGAGTTGGAGTCTCACTCTGTCACCCAGACTGGAGTGCAGTGGCCGCTCCCGGCCACCTCAGCCTCTACCTGCTGGGCTCCAGCGATCCTTCCACCTCAGTCTTCCAAGTAGCTGGAACTACAGGTGCACGCTACCATGCCTGGCTAATTTTTTGATTTATTGTAGAGATAAGGTCTCACCAAGTTGCCCAGGTGGGTCTCAAACCTGCAGGCTCAGGCAATCCACTCACCTAGGCCTCCCAAAGAGTGGGATTACAGGTTGAGCCACCGAGCCCGGCCAATTTATTTTTTTTGAGTTGGAGTCTCTCTGTTGCCCATGCTGGAGTGCAGTGGCACACTCGTGGCCACCCAGCTTCAATCTGCTGTGCTCTGGAGATTCTTCCACCTCAGCCTTCCAAGTAGCTGGAACTACAGGCGCGTGCTACCATGCCTAGCTAATTTTTTTTTTTAATTTTAATTTTTATTGTAGAGACAAGGTCTCACAAGTTGCCTGGGCTGGTCTCAAACCCGCGGGCTCAGGCAATCTACTCACCTCGGCCTCCCAAAGTGCTGGGATTACAGGCTGAGCCACTGAGCCCGGCCTGCTTTTTAATATAAAACATAGGCACCATAGAAAAGAATAAGAACACATCTATTTTTGCAGAAACTAAAATAATATTTGTAGAACCTTATAGGTATATAAAATACTTTATAATTAGAGTATATCTGGAATTATTTGATCTCCGTTTTTACAGATTAAGAATCAAAAGTATTGCCGGGCTCAGTGGCTCAGCCTGTAATCCCACACTTTGGGAGGCTGAGGTGAGTGGATTGCCCGAGCCCGCAGGTTCGAGACCCGCCTAGACAACTTGGTGAGACCTCATGTCTACAATAAATCAAAAATTAGCCAGGCGTGGTAGTGCGCACCTGTAGTTCCAGCTACGTGGAAGGCTGAGGCGGAAGGATTGCCGGAGCCCAGCAGGTCGAGGCTGTGGTGGCCGGGAGTGGCCACTGCACTCCAATCTGGGTGACAGAGTGAGACTCCAACTCAAAAAAATAAAAAGAATCAAAAGTATTAATTGCTTCCATTCATTGAACATCTGGTATGTGATTGTAATATCTCAGCACATATTAGATATGAAGAAAGAATGAGAAGCCTGGGTCTGTTCGGGTTTTGCTCAAGATCACACAGGTAGTAATTGCCAGAGCTCAGATCAAGTCCATAATCACCTGGTCCTTGTAAGTTTAGAAATAAGCTTTTCTGATCCCCAGCCTAGGCCTAAAGTTAATCTTAGGTGTCATATTTTGAATTTTAAAATCTCCAGCTGGGTGCAGTGGCTCAGGCCTGTAATCCCAGCACTTTGGGAGGTGAAGGCGAGAGGATTGCCTTAGCTCAGGAGTTCAAGACTAGCTTGAGCAACACAGTGAGACCTCGTTCCTACAATAAATTAAAAAATTAGCCAGGTGTGGTGGCACATACCTGTAATTCCAGCTACCTGGAATACTCAGGTAGAAGGATCGCCTGAGCCCACCAGGTCGAGGCTGCGGTAGCCGTGAGTAGCGTGCCACTGCACTCCAGCCTGAGTGACAGGGTGAGACTCCGATTAAAAAAAAAAAAAGTAGGCCAATCAAAAGGAAGGCTCCCAGGAAAGGGATATTATGATCGTTACGTTCATTTTAAGAAAAAACTGAAATACCCAAATGATTAAATCAATACCATATCTTAGTTTAACAAGGTTGGCATAGCTTTTGGTCAAGGAGAAAGAAAATAAGAAACAACTGATAACTCACTAGAGAGTTATTTAGAAGGCACATAGTTGTCGTTGTTGTTGTTGTTTTTGAGTCGGGGTCACACTGGGTCATGCTGTCTCCCAGGCTGTATTGCAGTGGCACCATCAATCCACAGCTCACTGCAACCTTGACCTCCTGGGCTCAGG